CGCGTAATTCCGATTCTATGGCAGAATTTAGAGTCCAAAGTTTAACGTGCGCACAAAGCCGCGCACGGCCGGTCCCCTCGCTGACTTCGCCTGGCTACGGCCTGCCACCAACCGCAACCATACCTGTCAGGAGGCCCATAAATGTCGAGCGCCCGTCGCGCTTCGAACCCAGACTGTCATAACCGGGAACGCGTGCTCTCACCACGCGGAGTCCAACGCTCTAACCAACTGAGCTACAGGACCGGCAGATGTCAATCTCTTAGTGTCTTGCGCTGGTTGAGGGCTGTTACCCTTAACTTTAGCAGGGCCCGACTCGGGTTGAGCTCTGATCTAGACTCTGATGGCTCTATGTCACCCACATTGGCCTCATTCCGGCCTCTAAAGGCTCATTCTGGCCTCTGAAAGCCCAACACCGGCAACAGAGTGAACCACGCTGGCCTGCGGGCCCCATAATGGCCTCAGTAGACCCATGCTATGGCTGACCTCATAACCCTCCCCCCGCGCCGGCTCTTCGGAGTCTTTGAGCCAGTCTGAGGACCCTATGCCGCTCTCGAACCCACGCCGGTCTCTAGAAGCCCATGATGGCCCCTGAGGGTCCCACGCCGGCCTTTATAAGGGCCACTCCTACCTCAAGGGGCCCAAACATGCATAAGATCTGAAAGTGGTTGCCGAGGCCCTCGAGGTGGCCTCTAATGGCCCGACGCCAGCCTATGAAGGCCCGCGCTGGCTTCTGAGGGCCCAGCACCAGTCTCTGAAGTCTGAAGTCAGATGACAGATGGCCCCACGCTGGCCTCAGATGGCTCACGCTGGTCACAGAGTGCCCAACACTGGCCTAAAAGGGCTCCACATTGTCTTCAGAGGGCCCCAAGCTAGTCTCGGTGGCCAATGGGCCTCTATCTGACCTAAGAAAGCCCCATGTCCCTGGGCTTAAAGACCCCACGCTGGACATAGTCGGCCCCATGCTGGACATAGAGGGCCCACACTGGCCTTACAAGGCTTCACACTGGCCATAGAAGGCCCCACATTGACCTTAGAAGACCCCCACAATGGCCTTAGAGGGCCCCACGCTGGCCTTAGAGGGCTGAGCGCTGGCTCCTTAGGGCTCTACACCAGCCTCAAAGGATCCCACGCTCGAGTATAAGCTTCTTTATGGCCGCCAAAGCGACCTCTGAGGGCCCACGCTAGCCTCTGGGGGCTCGGCCTTGGCCTCTGAGGGCCTATCAGCGCCATCAAATGGCATTTTAAGATAGTTTGGCGCAGTTTGACTTTAGTTATGCTTTAGTTAGTTTGGGCCAGTACTTTGGATGAGGCCCTGAAGATCGTTTCTCTTGGGACACTCAAGCAGGCACGTAGTACGTACCCAGGATTTTGCCCAGGAGGGGGCCGCCTGCTCTCAAAGGGGCCCACGAGTTACCCGGATGCCGCTGTCAACCCAGGCAGGGGCGTATGCAGAACCTTTCGATGAGGGGATTGGGCACAGTGGGTCCGGTCCCCCCTTGCAGACGGGCCCCTCTGTCCGTCTGTCTGTCTGTCTGTCTAAGTCCTGAGAAAATGTGCAAAATTGGCAGGTAAAAATATCATTTCTTGCTTGAGAACTGAGAAGTATGCATAAAATGCACGGTATTTTATGAGGAAGTGAAGCGAGCGAGCGCCTCAGAGTCACCTGTGTTAGTCCCTCAGAGGTGTCGGTAAAAGGCTATCAGATGCGCTGGTGTGGGGTCCTCACAGGCGCCGTTGTGAGGGCCTTGGGGCTTAGAGACACTGGTGGGGGCCATCACTTAGGCGTGTGTGGGGCCCTGAAAGTTACTGGTGGCCCTTCATTGGCCGGCAAGGGACCCTCAGAGGTCGGTAAGAGGCCCTCAGAGTCGCTGGTAAGTGACCGTCAGATGCGCTGCTCAGGGCCCTCGGAGGCGCCGGTGTGGGGGTTCTCAGAGCCGCCGAAATAGGCCCTTAAAAGGCACTGGTGTGGGACCCTTAGAGGTGGCAGTGGAGGCCCTCGCAGGCGCCGTTGTGATGGCCCTCAGAAACACTGGTGTGGGCCGTGGGGCCATAGCAAACGGGTATGAGGCCCTTACAGCTGATCTCTCATTAGCCTTCAAGGACCCTCAAAGGCCGGCAAGGTCCCTCAGAACCTAGCGTGAGGCCCCTCTGGAGATAAGTGTGGCTACAGAAGAGCCCATGGGGTGTTCTCACAAGCCCTGTGGTCTCCTTTCCAGTTGAAGCGTTGCCAGCGCGGGCCCTCTGCCGCCAATTGGCACCGCAGGTCCTCTCGGGCCCGAGGGGACCCTAAACCCTATAACGGACACGTGCTCACTCGCCCCTGGCCATACCATTGAATCCAAGTGATCACGGGCCGTTCAGGTAATCAGGGGCCTCTCAGGTGACCAGGGGCCTTTCAATTGACCAGGGGCCCACCAGGTGACCAGGGGACCCTCTGATAACCAGGGGACGGTTATACTAGGAGCTCCAAGGGTAACTAAGGGCCTTAATGTGACTGCAGGGGCCCTTCATATAACCAGGTACTCCCCGGGTAAACATGGGCCCTTCAGGTGACCAGGGTTTCTTCAGACCACTGGCCAGGGGTCACCCAGGGGATCAGGGGCCCCTCAGGTAGCTAGGGGCCCTTTAGATAACTAGGGGCCCCTCAGGTAACCAGGGGCCCCTCAGATAACCAGGGGTCCCTCATATACCAAGAGGCCCCACTGGTAACCAGGGGCCTCTCAGAAAATCAGGGGCTCTCAGGCAATCACGAGCCCCTTAGGTAATCAGGGGCCCCTCAGGTAAGCAGGGGCCCCTCAGGTAAGCAGGGGCCCCTCAGGTAACCATGGGCCTCTCAGATAACAAGGGCCACTCAGGTTACCAGGGCCCCCGTAGCCAGGGGCCCCTCAGGTAACCAGGAGTCCTTCAGATAACCAGGGACCAATCAGGTAACCAGGGGCCCCTCAGATAACCATGGGCCCCTCAGATAACCAGGGGCCACTCAGGTAACCAGGGGCCCCTCAGCTAACCAGGGACCCCTCAGGTGACCAGGGGGACCCTCAGGTAACCAGGGCGCCCCTCAGGGCCCCCATGGCCCCCCTTGGGTACGTCACTGCACTCAAGTGACCCAAAGGGCCCACTTGCATGTTTGATGCCAAAGGGGGAGGCCATGGCCTCTTGGCCTCCCCCCTGGATACGCCACTGTGGCTTCTGATGCTCGTCGAGGTCGGAATTTCCAAATACGCGTGGTGCGTCGGGCCGCGCGCTCTGACTTCGGCCAAGAAAAATGCGTCAGCTGATCATTGTCATTTCTGCCACTTGCGTGTGGTGTAATGGGGTCATAACTTAAGAGACGGCTGTTTCATATCAATTATTTTACATAAAATCATATTTCAAACCACAAATTAATGTTCGACAGCCAAATTTAAGAAACAATACCAATACAGGCTTACAGTTTAAGGCTCGACATTGTGTTGTCTACGATTAGACAGCTGATAACTCATTCCCGTACGTCGTATGGTCGTAACACTATAATGACCTTTGCTTATTGTCACAAGTGCGCCGCATTCGCGATTGTTGCCCGACGCCTGTTTGCAGGTGAGCCCACTACAGTTGTTATACATATCTAAAAACCGATAAACTTTTAGGCGAAAAAGGCACTATTCCAGGCCCATTTTTGATTTTTTTTTGCGATATTAGGTAAAAACAGAAGCTTCTTATCCTAGGAAAAATAAAACGGGAAATCTTTCAAAGGTGGCACACTACCTTTAACACAAGAACAATATAATGGTTAAACAATGTTAGGAAGTGTGGTAGCCTGAATGTGACTTGCTCTTGGGATGTGCTGTTACCATTGACCGGTCATCCCATGTCTCTACCCGCCTTCCCCACCCACGTCCCACACTCAAACCTCGGGACTCTACAGCCTACATAGTTCAACGGCCGTGCGAAGACCCACATTGCGTCTCCCCTCTTGCACCAACACCGTCTCGCTATCGGTCCGCGCCAGACTCGCCAGCGCCACGCATTATGTGCGTGTGTGCCGTGTGTGCGTTATCATCCCCGTCCAGTGTGCCGAGCGTGCCCGTCTTCACGTATACGCTGGGCTTGCGCGCAGTGTGTTTGCTCCTTCCGCGTCGATGTTGACGCATTTGTGCTGGTACGCGTGTGTGCGTACGACGAAATGTGTTGCAGAACGATTGGGCCCGCTTTCACTTACACCGCCGTCTCAGCGGTGACGGAAAGGCAGACAGCAGGCTACTGAACTTACATCGATGTTGTTGAAGTTGATAGGCGCGGCACTGGTAGAGGCACTTTCGTCCATGATTTTTTTAGGCCATCTCTCTAACTTTGATCGTAGGGACGATTTTTGTTTTGGACACCCGCGATAGATATTCTATTCTAGTCTGTTCTCCAGTGCTCAGACCGAAAAACCTGGCCCACTGCAGATGATTCAGATAATCGATTGTTGCAACTGACTCAGGTTCTGTCTGTACCTGGGAAAGTGGCGTTTGGTGTTATGAAACTGAGGAAAATATGGCGGAAGCTGGTCAGCTGCATACAGGTAGTCAGTTCCGCACACGTAGAACATTTCACATAGCTGCTGTGGTGGTTTGTGATTCTCTGTATGTAGAAGTCGACTGGTTTTCGGCTTAGTTCCAATGGCATTGCTGCTGAGCCATCAGCGTGCTTGTTCTTATTTCCGAATATTATTCAAATATTAGACACATCCGCTTAATTCATTTGAAATTTTAGTACTCGTCGATGCCGGACCACCAATTTATCACCGCCCTCCGGTCAAAACGATCACGTAACACCGCATCCCGCTCGTATCGACCGGTCCCGACCCGGGCCTACGTCATCATGTGACCCAATCCACTCTCCCGAAACCGCGCATGGCCCGTGGGCCTTTCTCCGAGCGGCGCCGAAAGCTGTGTGGGTGTGACGTCACCGGCTTACTCAGCTCTCTGGTGTGACGTCACAGTACGGTGGGCGGCTCGGCGGAGCGCGGTAGGTCGGCGGGCGCTGGATTCAGTGCAGAACGCTGTGTGCTGTCGGCGGGGTGGCTGGGACGCTGCGGTGCTGAGCTGGCACAGCTCTCAGTCTCTGAAGCTCAACTCTGCTGAGACTGGCTGAAGAGAGTTGAGGAGCTGCAGCTCGTCTTGTTCATCTCCCAGAGGACGGCTTCGTGAGGAAGCTCTCTGGTGTGGGAAGGGACGTGAAGCTGCTGTCACTCTCCATCGGTCTGCGATGGCGATAATCGAACGATCTGCCGCACTCCTGGCTCTGGCCATTGGTGAGTAGAAATGGGACATTACGTAGCATAGGACTTTTGGCTAAAGTGGTTATTTGATCCTTGCCTTTCAATCCTAATGCTTTACGTTCCGACTGGGCCCCGTTCGCAAGCTGGCTATTTTTTGCTCGTTTTGAACCGGTACGTAACGGTGGGTGACATCAAGTTTGCCAAACATTTGCATGTCAAACACCATCTATGATCCCACCTAACCTACCCACTTATCAGTGCACTAAAAATGCATGCATTGCATATCCTATATCCTAGCATTTGCATGTCAAACACCATCTATGATCCCACCTAACCTACCCACTGGCCACTTATCAGTGCACTAAAAATGCATGCATTGCATATCCTATGTCAAGACGAATATGCTGAAAACTTACCGGCGATGCCAAGATTTTGGTTGAAGATTTCAACAAGCCGATTTTAAGTTTGAATGTAAACTTTTGAATACGATCACTCCTATTATTTCAAAACTTATTGAATTACCTACTAGAAACTAGAATAAGGTCCGTCAAAAGTAAAACCGTGCTCGTTTTTTTTTCGGATTGTTTTTATCTGACCATCCATTCAGCCCCTTGACAAGCATGTTCGTCACGCGGTGCACCCTTTCCCCGATCCGTCTATATTTTGTGGAATGGAGTCATTCAGTGGACGTAGTTATTGGGCATTGTGTTTGTGTGTGCGTTTGGTCGTCTTCTATTGTGTTGACACGTAATTGCGACATGGGTGAGCGGATCTAACCGTGTCACTGCACTGTCTGCTAGGTTCACATACACAACTTGATTTTGTTTTATGTTCTTATATGTAGTTTAATGCGTTGCGTTAGTTTTACAATTTATTGAACAATTGGTGGGCACGATTTTGCTGTCAATAGTTATCCATAAAACGTCCGTCCGATGTATGCACTCAGCGCATCACTCTTCGAAATGCACCATGGCACTCGACATTTTTCTCAAACGCCGTAAGCGCCGTAATAACTTTAAAGAAACTGTTTCCGTTCTCCATTTCGCCGATGGCTTTTTCGCCGATGGCTTTATCGCACAGCAATGTAAAATCATCAATGGTACCTAATGGTCTCCCTAATAACCAGTGTACGTGTATCTCCAACCCGAGCCGCCTCCCACGATAAGATCAAGACTTGTGTCAAGACATGTGTCCTAAGTATTAAGTAATAAGTTCACCTGTATCAAGTTCACCTAGCACCACTTTTCTGAAAGAAAAGTGGTTCATGTTTTAGTGCCATCTTTCATTATAGAAAGACAATGATGTTGAATGTGTTTTCTGATGAACCACAAAGTGAAAATCAGTGATTTATGGGTGCATTGTATTTAAGAATTCCTTTTGAATTATCATGAGCAGAGTTGAATACCTCCTTTTGCACTCTTTAGAAAATGAAGAGACTCACAAAATTAAAACATGATTAGAAAGAACACATCCTTAGAAATGTTTTGTGTACTAACCATATTTTTTTCACAAAACATTTATAACTTCCACCAAACCACACAATGAGTCAGGTGAGATTATCTTACATTAGGTAAGGTTAGGTAAGGTTAGATTAGGTTGTATTATTTCTGCTTGTAGTGTACCTGACTTTTCAAGGTAGGTACATGATAATTTTAATTGCAATAATCACCTTAAAATATATATTGGCTAGCAACCTAGATAAAGGCTAGGCCACACATGGCAATTAAATAAATATTAACAATTGTTTCATACTTTCACATCGCATCGTAAGAAACATTCAGTTATTTACCTTTGGGGCTCGGGCTGGGCGGTGGGTGAAAAGTTGAGAATTCTTCTTGCCCCTCGACCACCTCCTCTCCTCACCCGTCCTCGTCCTCTCCCTCGCTCACCAGGCATCTTCACCTGGAAGGTAGGCATACAGAAATGGGCCAGTCTGCAAAACGTGGCAGGTCTTGACAATATGTTGTCAGGGCACACACCACAGGTTGTGGCAGGTTTGAGGAATTTTGGGGCAGAAGCAAGGAAATCTGGGGCAGAAGTTGAAAGCTTGTCACAGCATTGATTCATTTCGCTTCTCATACTTATTAAATGATGCACTTCATCATTATATCATTTTCATCATATTCATGAGGGGCCCTCATGAAAGGAATTGGGTTGCCCAGGTCTCGGCATTCCGCTTGGGGCAATGTTTTGACTGTCCCAAACATCTTGTCACGGATTGAGCTCCCTGCCACACTTTGAAGACTGGGAAATTGGTGCTGGAATGGAAACACTATCAGATTCATGACAATTTTTCCAATACCATAGGTATTTGTTATTCAAATAGCACTTGTCTCAACTTAGTCTATCACTATTCATATAAACCTGGAAATAGTCTTGCTTTTAATATCACATGCCAAAATACATGTATATATATACCTATCAGATGAATCAGAATTGGAATATTTTAAGATATAGATAACATAACTCATTAAAACAGGCAATTCCAAAAGCGTAAACACGACATACATAACCAAAGCAAGGATCATTGTATATTTCAATTGTAACATGCGCGCCGTTTATGGCGACAAAACCCGCTTCCATATCTTATGACCTTGAAGTCTAGTGATGTGTCAACATTGTCGCTAGACATTATCCGATTGATAATTTATGATAATCGATAATTTTTTTACGCGATTCACGTGATGATAGCTTGCCAGGTGAATTCTAAAATTTCGTTTTATCCAGGGAAAAAGTCATGGGCCGATCTGAGAAAACTTTTTGAAGGTGGCAGTCTTCCTTTAACCCGGCAGTTGCTGGGGTATTTCGCCACCCACCGTTTGCTGGGGGGGGGGGGGGCGTTAAACGCCCCCAGCCGATAACTCGAGAACCAATAGGCGCAGCGAAACGCACGAGGCGGCAAACGAAAGAGCGCGACGAGACGCTTCAGATGAGTACTTTAAAGTTGAATTTTGAGGTCACAGGTCGGGTCAAGGTCAGGTCAAACACCTGAAATCGGGCTTTCAGTAGCATGGACTTCAGGACTTCGCAATGGGCGTCGCTCGCCATAAACTCTGTGAAAACGGTGCACAATCCATCTTATAAGGCCTACAAGAGTGTCAGCTCCATGTAGGGGTCAGTCAAGCATAGGTCAGGGTCAAGGTCAGGTCAACCGGGTAGGCACATATCCCCGAAAATCAAAACTGATATTTGCAGCCTGTGACACATGTTATATAGGTAATTTTGGGCGTAGAACACGATGGTGACATTCATTTTATCATATGTGTACGTGTTTGGCTCAAAAAGTTCAATTTAAGAAATTCATGTATCATGGTCGTGAAGTAGTCACGAAAAATTGCCAAGATTCAGTTCAAGATTATGGAAAATACGGAACGATAATCAATAATCGAAGATAGCCATTTGATTGATTATGGTATTGGCAGTCTAATGGCGTTTACGGCATGTCTGTATGTCTATTCTGTGATTTTATATGATTTTTTGAACATATGCCGTTTTTGGTCGAAAACTCAGAAATCATGACGTCACTAAAACCTCGATATCTCAAAAATTTTCCGACCGATTTTTTTGAAACTTTGTCACAATAAACTCCAATCAATTCCCTACAGGTACCAAAAATTTGGCGCGCCTGCGGCGCGCCATTTTTATGCTATGGCCCGGCGAAAAAGTGGGGGCGTTTAACGCCCCCCCCCCCCCCAGCAACTCGCGGGTTAAAAGCCATCGGCGCTCTACGGCCGTCCTCGACATGAGTTTCTTCAACGCCGCTTTTTCTGCTCAGGCTTTCAATTGCCGTCATATTTCTTCACCGATATTTTCATCTGATAATTCTCTCTATGGGCCGGCGTTTTCGAAGTCAACTTTCTATAAAAAAAAACACGCACTTATATTCCAGTTCAAAGAGCATGTCGAGACTGGTAATTTGATCCGCGAAACGAATTCACGAGCCTCGTTTAACCATTTAGGATGTTCGGGGAAGCGTGGGGTACCGGATGCGGCCCGGGCCGTATTTGCTATAAACCTATCGCTCCGTGAAGGACATGGGTCCGGGGCTGTCACGGGGTGTGTGGGGTTAGGGGGGAGGACCACGCCCTACCAGAGGTGCGAGGGGGCGGCAGACCGGCGCTATGCGTTATCAACTACGACGGCCATGGGCTTCGCACCAGCTAATTAGCTCCTGGCATGAAACAGGGAAACCCAACCACGCCATCCGTCAATGACTGCACGCAGCCGAAGGAAAGTGTGCTGAATGATGGGATGGTGCAGAGTAATGATATGGTGGATGCCATGGTATTAAAAATGTTACCTGGAGTAAATCCTGCATTACAGTATTACTTTATTGTTTTATTATAATGTCAGGGGAATAAAGAAAAAGACGGCAGAAAAAAGTGCTGCTCACAGTCGCTGAATCGCTTATTTGCTTGCTACATATTTCACCTGCCTATGGTCACATGCGACGTGCTCGTTACCTACATGTGAAGACGATTCATTATTCAACTTCTATCTGTTGTAGCACATTGCCGTCTTCTCTTCCGATGGAAAGACCGAGAGTGGTGAAGAGGGTACAGAGCTCAGACCACCTGCAGCTGTGGACTGTGGTTAGTTGTCATGTTTCGGCAGTTTCTTCCCACTGGAGTGCAGCTACATATAGGAAAAGGTCACGTCAAGGGTAATACGGCAGCCCGGAAGGCAAAGACATCCAAAATCCGTATCGTAATTGCTCCAATCACATGCAGATGGCATCGGCTTCTTCCTTGGTGTTTATCCTCGGGGCTCTGAGGTCTGATTTTTTTAGGTTGACTCAAGAACTATCATCACAGTTTGAAATTCAGGAAAACAGCCTAGTGTAGACTGGTAAACTGGAACAGTCTTCCTGTTCCTTATTAAATTCCTCGAAAATGACTTCCCGGATGAAGGGGAGAGGGATGGACAGAGGAAACGTAGCGTATTGTGATACCAGTGTTTTAGACGGTGACCGCATAGGTGTGCCCAGTTCGTTACTTTTATTCGTATAGGTACCTTACTTTTTTGGTCCCGAGAATTACAGATCACAAACGTTAGGATAACTTATAGTTCTGCAATCTCTTGTAATGCATTGGCTGTAGGATAAGTGAGCGATCAACGATGAGTGCATTCTGTTTGTATTATTAATACAAATATGTAGGTACAGCTTGTGCATGAGATGTCCTCAATGTTCTCTCATGCTTGTCAGCCTACATGACACTCCTTAACTTCAGCCACCTGCTCCTGGCTCGTATTGCATGAGTTCACACTGAATGAGGTCGTCGCATTCCACTTTCTGCGGCCTACTCATGCAGTAAGTCAGCGTTTGATTTTAATTTCGGTGTCACCCGTCGAGTTTTCTCTGGGATGGGCCGGTTTGGGCCGTGGTCCTGGTTTGAGATGCAGTCGGCTGGAACGGGCTCTCATCGGTGGTGTCAACCGGATCAGGGGCTCGTGACCTACTGGGCCCAACAATCACCCGTGACCTCCTGGGTCAAACGGCCGGGTTCCGACCCACCGCTGACCGTACCGCCTGTCCGTTTTGACTCCGCCTCTCCCGTCACATTCTGTCGCTCTCGACGCCTCAGAGAACCCGAAGTGCACCCGGCTCTGCACGCTATCCAGCTGACCGGTGACCCAGTGCATCCTCTCGGTCCGGTCCTTAGGCGCACAGGTGTCGGAGGAGCAGCACTCGCCGCGGCTGTCCATCCCGACCGTCACGCTCGGTTGACGGCCGGGAGGGGCGGCTCTGGCTGCTCCGTGGCTCCGGCTGCTCCGGTGGCTCCGTGGCTCCGGATTCCTGAAGCCTGTCCGGTGCCGGCCTTCGGTGCCACGCATCGACACCCGGCCCTTGAGAACCCGTGAGAAAAATCGTGACTGGGCGTGGACCGTGGAACTCTTTGACTCTGATCAGTATCCATTGTTTGCAGACGGAAAGTCCGTGTCCTATATATTGTGTGGATATAACAGCGTGCGACCTGTCGAAATGTTTGACAAGGCTTTATCCGCTCAGCAGGTAGTGCTTAGCTAAACGATTAGCTCATGAATAATGCACCTGTCAGTTTGGCTTTTGATGACTTTCATGATGGAGGATGCTATCTGAAAGCCCATTACCTTATTCGATGGCAGCTCCGGCTCATCCTGTCTATATCGTGATATTAACGGTTTCTTTACACTACGTGTCCCAAATATCTCGGAGGCTTTCGGCGGATTGAGACCACACCCTGATGACTCTGGGTTCTCTGGGCGCACTCTATGCGCCGTCTCGCTCTGGCGAGCCATCCCCAAGAACGGTCGCGCTCCAGTGCGCGCACTCATTGGTCAAATGGTCGTCGGTCAAGGCAGCGGGTATATAGCACCGTCAGGGATGGTCAGAGAGGTGTGCCGAGCTCGGGATGGAATTTGTGACACGGATAGTCGGCAGAATCTGGGCCTGTGGGAGATGGGTGTCCGGGGCGCGGACACCCATTTATGTAAAGACGCGCGTGCACTTTAAACGGCAGCACAAAGGTCTAGTCATCTCAAGAATCGGCTTTGCCGCTGTAGTCTTGTGTGGAACTCCTGAACCCTGACAGTTGCGAATGATGCCTATGCATTTTTTATGTGAATTGCTTTGTTTCTTTTGACTCAGAGTGAATTATTTTGCTACCTTTAACGTGATCTGACAGTGCCTCTTTGATTTGTAACCTAATATTTGATCACGACTTTACCGTCGCCCTTTTCCTGCCCGCATTAGTATGGCTCACGGCTGTGGCTGGAAGTTTTGTATTCAGTGAGCTTCTGTTTCGCTGGGAGTTTTATAGCTGGGGCTTTCTGTTTCGTCACTGAAATGTCCTCAACGGAAGGAGCGGCGCGATCCGACCGGAACTCGGGACCTCGGCGGATCCCGGCGCAGCTGCACGCGTGTCGATCCTCGTGACCGGTGCAACAGGCGCAAAAAAGACTCCTCGTCTCCGCCGGCACCGTCTCACTCTCCGCTGCCGTAGTCTTAGGGCCGTCGTGCTACCGGTTCCGCTACCGCCGCTGCTGCTTTCATCACTCGTGCTGCTGCCGCCGTCCTGCCTCCCTCCCCATCGTTTCCGTCGCCTCGCTGATAGTCTGGATCGAACGACTGTGGTCACCAAGTCCCCTCTGAGTCATCGGCGTCTGCCGACGATGGTCTGGCCGCCTCCGCACACCCCCGCCCACTTGCTCGGGGTGTGACCCGGGGATCGATAGGGGCGCCGCCCCCGGTCCTCACTGACCCGACACATCCCCGCCAAGGAGGAAGTTTCTTGTCAGCGAAGGGTGCGCGAATTACGTCAATGTCTCACGCAGGGCTACCGGACGTAGTTAAATAGGTGGAAATGGGCGTTCCTCACGATTGTGGCTCACGCAACTCGATATACCTATTAGGGGATGTGGAAATGCTTTGACAGATGAATTCAGTGAGTATGGCTGTGCGTGTTATGACGTGGAAAACTCACTTGCAAAAATAGCAACACCATATAAGTTAATAATCAAACTTGGCGTGTAGTTTCATGACGGGCAAGCTTAAGCCTGCGCTCGTCGGCCGCCTTCAACACAATGCTTTTAAAAGCCAGCACGGAAAGCTCATGATTATCAAGTGCTTACTGCGGCGTCACTTCCGGCCTTCCTAGCACCGTCGATTGCCTGGAATGACACTGAGTCGGTCGTGCCGCTCGCCGTGTACCGTGACGGGCAGCCGAGTTGAAGCCGTTTGCCCAGCCGAGGGTGACGGTGGTGCGGTTCTTGGGTGGTACGGCCCTGAGGCGCAGCTGAAACGACTGGAACGGCGCTACAGAATGGGCTCGCCCGGGCAGGCTTGTGATGCCTACCGACCAGACAGCATAGTTCGTGCTGTTGAATGGTCTATCCCGTATTAGTACGAGTATTAGCGATTCCCGCCTATTGAAGGACGATGAAGTCAGTCGGTAAAGTTCGACCTTTCGTCTTCTTCGGTACCAATAATCACCGTCATAGGTGTGCATCGACACGTCGCTGTGCGGATGGTCCAATCTGGTCCGGTGGTCCCACTGATCCAATGATCTTACTATTTCGGTGATCCCACTGGTCCAATGGTCTTGTTGGTCAGGTGATCCTATGGGTCCGTTGATTCCATGGATCCCACTGCCCCAGTGATCAGTGACCCAGTGATCCTTCGGGAGCACCACAGAGGTCAGATGAACGGTCTCCGTCCGCCACCTGTCGTGGTGTGCTGTCCGACTCTGCTGCACCGGCGAGGTGCCGCCCCACGCACCGGCCGGCCTCTCAGACACGTACACCGTTCAGCCCGTCACTGCTGACGGACCGTACGGGCTGTGAGTACGGTCCGTACGGTCGCTGGTAGCAGTGCAGTGCGGCACTGACCGTGCCGCTCTGGTTACCGAGACGCAGCGGCACTGATGAATCATGAATGTGGCGTGGCATCAGTTGTTTGCAAGTCTCTGATATGGCTTACTTTGCATTAGCCCTTCGTATACACGACCATCGGATGTGTCCACCCTGAGGTGACACAGTGCTTGGTTTGGCCAACACGTCAAATAGATGATCCGCTTTAGTGAGAACACTTCAGTAAAAGCGTCGCATCATAGATCTAAGGCCATCACGATGAACCGACAACATAATAAAACTACTGTTGTCGCGTATGCTGGCTGATGAGGAGACCAGCGGGTGTCGCAGTTAACAACTCCGCGGCAACCCCTAAAACCCGACGGGACTGGACGCAAAAGGTGCTGGATGTTGGTCTGACCAAATCTCCCCCGTGACGTTGAGGGAGTAATGAACTAATTAGCATGCATTGAACACAAGTCCGACTTTATCTCCGCGTCACGCGATTGGTAAAAATAGTACAGTAATCCTAAGTTCGTCTATTTGGAACCGTAATCCCTGTCGTCGCTATAAATGGGGTGTCTGAGCGGATGTGAGCCCCACTGCCCATCGTCCCAGGATCCTCCGCCCTCGGTCTCAGTGACCCCCGTCCCACGATCTGACATCTGAGGTCTCAGAACTGAACTTCCTCCAAAATAGCCGGGCGGAGCTGCAGTCTGGTCAGTAGCCACCCACTCGATCGGACGTGTAGCTGATGGGTTAGCGGGTTCACCCGCAGCGTCCAGAACAAGACGCCAGATGGTGCGGACGGGACGGCACCGGAGAGGTGTCTGGGCTGCGCTCTGATACAGTTACACGGATCATTGAGGAGAGATGGGTCTGGGTCGGGCGGGGACTCATTAAACGTGCCCCAACACCTGCTGGTGATCGGCTGAGGTATTTAACAGGGCCTGTCTACCGGTGGCACAATTAAGTGCAGTCATGTTTTGAACCATCTGCTCTGCTCGTTACTCCCGATCCGTTACTCGCTCCTGGGCTGAAATGGACTGGACTTGACGAGAATGTAGGTCGCTAATTACCACTTAATGGCTTTGGTCGTACATCTTTGCCCTGCACCTGACATCATCCCTGCAACTGACCTCCTTTTCATGCCTGGGTGACTGACGTCTGTCTTACGCCTGCTGTGACACTGCGACCTCACATGATCTCACGCCTTCATTTCACCTCATCTCTACATTTGATTTTAATACTTCATCTGAGCCCTTCGCTTTACCGCAATCCTATATACCTAAACTCGCCACTACACATAACATTGCCCATGCACATGACCTGATGACCTTACCTCTCGAAATGCCCTCTATCTGACCTGACCTTCCCCCGTTCTTTTCTCCAGGTCTGGCGGTGGCGGCCACCTCTGAGACGGTCATCACAGAGCACCCGTCGGACGTGCTGGTCACAGAGGGAGACGAGGCCATACTCAAATGCAAAACCAGCGGCGAGGCCACCAGATGCAAGTGAGTACCGACTGCGGGCGCTCCTCTGTGCCGATTTTTTTTTTCTTCAAACCGCTGCGTTTTTAATTTATTTCGTCAATGGTTGCCTACAAAATTTATATCCCTTGTTACCATGACACCAGTAAATACGCTTCCATCAGATATGAATTCAACTAATAAATCGTATGAATCTTCCTGCGACTTCCGTACGTGTAACTGCGGTGTCTGCCAAGCCTGTGAAGCTAACTCGCTGTTCTGTCGACAGGTGGCTCCTAAATCGCACCGACAATCCCTACGAGCTGGTTGACGTCAAAGAGTTCTACCCCAAACGGGACGGCGACTGCAGCATCCGCATCAAACAGGTCAGTGTCTGTGTGACTGAAAACAAGTTGCCCTGACCTGAAGTCAATCGCTGCACGTCCTGCCGTAGTCTGAGGTCACCGCTAGTCCTTGGGATGGTTTGAGGTCATATGTCATGTCGGTAGGCGAATCTCGGCCTTTGCCATTTTGTCTCATGAGATTATGAACCTTAGCCTGTGCAGAAATATGGAGATTTTACTGGTTACTTGCGCTGCGCGAATGTTTGTCCCGTTAAATCGAAATTTAGCTCGTTTGTTGGAGAGATAGAATAATAAAAGTTCAAGGGTACACCCAAAACAGCCTGGGTGCGTTTGTCGCTCTCGTTTGCGTGTGTGCTTCGTCTGACCTTCCCCATCCCTCCCCAGGTGCGACCGGTGCACGTGGGCCGCTGGGTGTGCTCTGTGCACATCTCGCTGCTGCAGGAGCAGCTGGTGTCGCGTCCTGCCGCCGTTGCCATAGCAACCCTGTCAGCACGCGCCAGCCAGCCGACCATCGTGGCCCGGCCGGCCAACACCAGCGTCCCGCCGGGTGGCACGACCGAGCTCGCCTGTCGTACCAACACTGAGGTGGGTGACGGTACGGGAGGAGGTAACTGAACTGGACTGTAACGCAGGAGTAGGCTTGTTCTAGAAGATTTTGTGGTTCGGAGCTGTATTGAATGAGCTAATATTCTGATCAACCCGCTGAAAATTTTCAGATGAAAATCAGCTTATGAATACACTGCTGTATCCGCTGTATCGTTTTGTGTGACGTAATCCAGCACCATTGTCTTCAGCTAAATTCCCCGACCCACTAGCGACTTTCTGGACGCTGCCACTGCTCTCTAACGTCCAAACGGTACTAATGCTTCACCGAACTAACGCTTCCGCTCTCCGCCGCCAGGTGGCCTCCTGCGGCTGGGCTCTGCCTGGGGACGTGGTGATCTCACTCAGCCAGAAGACACTGTCACTTCTGGACGATCTGCCGCTGTCCTTCACCGGTGACCTCGCCTCCGGAGACTGCTCCGTCCGCGTCGACACCATGTCGGAGCGCTTTGCCGGCGAGTGGAGCTGCTTCTTCAACATCGGTGACAACACTATCTGGACGAGCCCGGCGCATCTGGAGCTGGTCTCCGCGCAGGCTCAGACAGGTAAAGACATGGCTAGTATAGGATTTGAATGAATTTGCAGAGGGATGTGATTGCGCTGCCGTTGGTGTAAAAAGTCGATGCCCGATAGCTGCAAATTAGGTTCATGCTTTTTAGTCGAATATATACGTTCTCCATAATTATTAAATTATTATAGCACCTAATGTAGTTTTCCTATTTTGACGCACACATTTGGCTCGTTGACGCTTTGGATGCAGTTCTGCCAGTGCATATGAGCTCGGTCATCTTTCACAATTTTTTTCTTTATGATTCCTTAGTCGTATGCCTCAGACTATTCCAATCCAAGACCAAATGAGCATCGCAGTTCGCACTTCGCCCGCTGGGCGTTGCAGTCGTGTCCCCTGGTGGCCGCCGCTTACAGTTGTATCTCCCGTCTCGTCCAACAGGTGGCATTCAGGCTGCTGTCAGCCCGGCCGTGCTCGCCGTCCTGGTGATAGCTGTGATAGCCCTGGCCTCAGTCATCTCAGCTGCCATCTGGTTCCGTCGGCGGCGAGCTCAGCTGCGTCACGACAAACTCCTCGAGAACCCTCTCTACGGCATCCGTAACCTACAGCTGGCCGCTGCTGCCACCGCCGCTCAGCACCAGGCTAAGGAGGACAACCGGCTCAACACCATGACGGCTCTGTCGGCGGCACCGAGCGCCCGAGCACTACATGAACTCGGCCTCGCTCAGCGTGCACTCCCCAACGACTACTCGGGGAAGAATGGCGGAGCTAGTACCGACAAAGAGCGAGTGTACGCGCATGTGTACGACACTCCACGCAAGTCGAATCTGTACGACGTACCGAGCTCTCGCGAGGCGTACTCTGTTCCTCGCTCGTCATATGAGATCCCGCCGACACCTGTACGGGTGGATTTCCATGGAGGCGGTGAGGAGGGAAATGTCTACGAAGAGGTGCGTTCCACCAAGTATAAAGATGAGGACATGGATGGGTACCTGGTTCCCAGTGAGAAGATGAAGATGTGAGGAGGGACGGGATCCTGAGGATAGAAGCACGGGCAGGTGATGTGGTAACTGAGACTGCCTGACTCTTGACTCTCAGCTGGACTGAGTATCAAGTCAGGAGCGAGATAACGGGGGTGAGTTATTGAACTTTTCTGAGTCTGTGTGGCGAGGTATGGACATTGGACAATTAGTGAGTACCTGTCGATACTGCACCGTTGTGGGTGTTGTGTTTTGCCGTATTGTATTTTTGCTAGGCCAGCACTTTCCAGTATGGAGGATGTGTATTGTGTATGGGTGGATGAGCATTTGCGTGGTGTATTAGTGCGTAACTTGCGGTACTGCCACGGTTTCCTTCGACATTAAGGCTGTGTGCATTAATGTGAAGCTGGAGCGGTAAGTGCTTATCTGCCGGTCAGGACCGTTAGTAGCGCAATGCTCTACTTGCGATGGTTTGTGCGACATGCTGTAAGTTATGAGTTGGTGATATACGTATACAAGTGTAAATATGAACCGATTGGTACTACCTTTTGATATCATTGAGATATCCTATGCACGTGCACGTGTCCATAATTATTTTTGGTCGCGAACTTTCATAAATGTTGTAAATATGTACATCGCTGCTCGAAAGTAGACAGTTGAATGAGTTCTCTGAAGATGCTGATGCTTGTGAATATCTCAATACCATTAGGTTGAGCCCTTTTCAAACGAGCTGATCGGTTTTACGCCTTTGGCAGTGTCGACATTTTACATCATTCTCCCTAAAAAGATATCTTGTATATAGTGCTGGATATTGGACCAATCGTCAACGTTAAACCGAAATACAGAATAAGAAGGTTTTCTATGACTTTGAGTTGGGCTAGCGAAGTCTTGTCAATTCCACGTAATACTGGAAAACAGTGCAAGTTCACGAGCGGGAGCGACACGAGACCTTTGGAGTCAGCGATTCCGCTCTCAGAAGTCAGATGATGCTTTTCATGAAACTGAATGAAAGTTGGAGGCTACTGAAATGCTTTCAAACAAAGGAGGGAGAAGTCGCTAAGAAGTCAACAAAGACGATAAATCACAAGAAAGGTGAAGGGAAAAATGATTTCGTCCACATTGAAGATTTCACAGTTACCTCGCAACCTACCGTACTTTTTAGGCGGTAATTTGGATGATATGAGCTGCTCGAGGTTGCCGAAGCTCAGGGGCAATCATGCTTATATGGTGGAGTCTTTTTGTTAAATTTCCTAGGTCTTACATGAGAAAGAGGTTGGGACAAAGAGACAGGGGTGACAGGTCACGCTATAAGCTCATCCCGTCCCCAGAATGTGTCACCCCAGACGCGCGCTGTCCCCGTCCCAACAGGACACGTCACCCGGGCTCGTCATCTCCGCGCACGGAAGCGTTCAGTGACTCCTAACCGGCCACCGGAACCACTCAGAGCTTCTGCCGGCGCCGTGCCAGGCTACGGCACGTGCCGCGGAGGAGTCACCGCCTCAGGCGGCGAGTGACCGGTCCGGCCGCCCAGACCTGTCAGACAGCTCGCACAGTGCGTGTCCAGCAGCTATTTAAACAACCACGTGCCGAATATTGAGCAACCCGCACAGCTGGGTGAGTACAGTCGGACTGGCCAACTCGGCCGCGCGGTGACGTCATAAGCAGATCAGACCGGTGACGTCATGCAGTTCAGCACACAGGGCTGAAGCTAGAAGCTGCTGGAATGATGCCAACGGAGGCCAATAGACGGTGAGTTGCCTCGCATAACAGTAACAGCTCCCAAAACACACGACATGTTCGTACACTCTCTGACTTGTATATTTTCATATATGGGCGCGCTCACAATCAGACTTCACCGTAGAAAACCGCACCGCAGGCAACGGCATCTATCACAAAGAACGGCAGGCACAAGTTGCCTAGATTTGCCACTAGAGCGCGCAGCAAGTGCTACCGTCTGAGACGAAGATTCTGTACACAGGGCAAGGATGGGAGCAACACGAGTGGCCGCGACGGCGTGCACATACCACAGGCCAATTTCCACATGTCTTTTACCACTTACAAATTTAGCCTCACCAGCTCATACACAGAGCCACATTTTTCTTTGATTTTTTCATAAAAATGCCAACAAATGGTGAGACACGTTCATAATATCAGCGATGCGCTAGCGCATGGTGCTAGAATCTACCTATGGTATCAAAGTATAAATCGTCACAATTCAAAGATTCCCAGGTAAAACTCGTCCAAAAGGACAAATTAGAGCCGTTATAAATAGGTACGAATCCATTTCGCAAGATCGTTCCTAAATAAAAGAGAGGGGACCGTTGGTGGTCATCGGCGGCCGAACACGCATAAAATAACAGAACAAGGCGGCGGCGTGGAGTGGAACAATTTGGGCAGTGTGCGTCCGCCGGTGGGCGCGGTGCCGACAACAGCGGGCCAGCCGCAGCCCGACAGACACACGCTCGGCACGGCCACGCGCGCGCGCGCGAGCGATCACACTCGCAGGGAATCGAGCTTCGCCGCGCTTAAGTATGGGCTCTGAGTCCGTCCGACGCGACCCGCCCGGCTCCGTGGCGCCGCCCGCGGGCGCCGCAGCTGCCCCGCAGAAAGACTTGCCACGCAGGCAGCGCAACATCTATCCGGCCCGCTCTCCCTCCTCCCTCTCTCTCAGTTCGGATGGCGCGCGCGCCGCGCCGGGTCACTGGTTTGAACGGAAATTGAGCCGGATTCGTTCACATCACTAATACTGTGACAGAAGCGGACGCAATATCACGTGGTGTTGGCTCCGGCGCCGGGTGGGCGGGGCGCGGCCAGCGTCCCTGGGCCCGGCACGGGCAGCTGCAGCGCCCGGCGCGCGGCGCCGCGCCGCCTGGTAACATCGAGACGGGTCGGGGCGCTAGCGCGGCCCGGCAGAGATCAAACGCCGACAGTGGGCGGTGGCGGCCGTCACGGCACCATCCGCTCCACGGGCACGCTGGGCAGCTTGGTGTGCAGCCGGGTCTGCATGGTGCTGGCGCCGTCGTCGGCCACCGAGACGCGCATCTTGCCGCCGCTGGAGCCGGCGCTGCCCAGGGTGTTCAGCTTGCTGCTGCTGCCCGTGTTGAGCCGGCCGGAGCCGGAGGCGCGCAGACCACTGCTCGACACCGGACTGGACGACACAGAGTCGTCGGCCGGCGGCCGCGGCAGCCGGCGCCGCAGCCACGGGTGGCGCAGCGCGTTGCCGGGCGTGATGCGCGTGCTCGGGTCCCACTCCAGACACCGGCGCAGAAAGTCAATGAACAGCGAGTCGTTGCAGTTCTTGAGCGCCTTGGCGAAGCTGTTGGACCCGGGCGGGCCTCGCGTCTTGCCGCGCCGCGACCGGCCGCCGCCCAGCACCACCTCTCCGTCGGGCAGCGTGGTGACGCGAGAGTAGCGCGGGTAGCCTTTGCTGCTGAAGAAGTTCTTGGTGCGCTTGGCCGAGTCGAGCAGCTTCTGCGGCGGCATGCCGAGCAGCTCGATGATGCAGGCCAGCTGGTCGGACTCGTCCTCGCCGGGGAGCAGCGGGTAGCCGGTGAGCAGCTCGGCCAGGATGCAGCCCAGCGACCAGATGTCGATCGGCATGCCGTACTTGGCGCCCAGGATCACCTCCGGCGCCCGGTAGAAGCGCGACTGGATGTACGTGTACACCCGCTGGTGCTCGTAGCACGAGCTGCCGAAGTCGATCACCTGCGGGTCACAGACGGACGGGGACGGGGTCAGCACGGGCGGAAGGCGGCCGCGGCGGCGGGCCGGCTGCCAACGCATACACTCACACACACAAGAGCACACAAACACACACGACAGCGGCGCAGGCCAGGGTAAACAGCAGCGCACACGGGACAGGCGGATGACGGAGCTTCCTAGTTAGACATAGGCCAGTCACTCAGCAGAGCGTACGTCACAAGGAAGAACACTGGAAGGGACGCGACTCAAGAGATGAGCAATTTGAGCACCAGTGTCTCGCTACTTCCACTTTAAACAGAATACATACAAATAGCAAAGGACACTTCATCTAGTCCACTTCACGTACGATAACGCGGCAGTAAAACCACGCAGAAACAAACTCACTCTCGACAGTCAAGTGTCAGACAATCATATCTCCCGTGATAGACTTCTGAGGTAGGTATACAGTAATGCATTGATGAGGCATTAAACTATGGGCTCGATAACGATGATATGCAATGACGAAACACCACCAATCATGACTAGCGATGCGCTGGACCCACTGTCGACGAACGAAGCCATTTCGAAGTTCCTTGGACGAAATCATTTGGAAACAAGGTCGCATTATTTCTTTAGTAGCCTCGGTTCGCTGGCAATAATTCACTAGATAACCAGTAGAAAAGAATATACCTTCTGGGCGAGTCGGGACACCGGGCATCTTTGTTGAAAGGTTGGAAGGGAAGTTCTACAATGCGGAGGATACCCGTCTAAAATAATGCCTCTTCTCGTCAATCAATAAAAACCAGATCGCGAGACGAAACGGAAAGCATCCCCACTCCCCAGCCACTCACAAATCAAACCTTTTCAGCATCAATTTCTGCGGCATTCCCGCGGCACCCCCGTCACCTATCACGCTGATAACGCCCGGATTCATCTCGCCTAATCTTTGTCACGTAGCCCACCCACCCGCAGGCAGACGCTGCAGGTCCGACCCTATCAGACCCGTGGCAGGGCGGTCGGGGCAGCGACCGAGCAGACCCAGTCCGGCTCAGCTGATCGCCTGGCTCGTCAGTACCGCCACCTGGCGTCGGCGGCGGGCTGAATCGATAGCAGCGCCGACCGCCGCCGCCGCCGGCGAGCACCGGACGCCGGACGGACCGGGGCCGGGACGGGACGGAACGGCAGGTGGCCGGCCTGCTCCCCATCCACCGGCCGCCGCCCTACACCGCCGTCCAAGGCCGGCGCGCCGCACGCCGCAGCAGCCACCGTGTCGCCGCCGCTGTCCTCGGTTCGCCCCAACACGTCATGAGTAGCTAACCTACAAACTACAGCGAGCAGTACTGATCCGCTGCAGAACGGCTCGGCACTGTCAGCTCGAGCTCCAGAGCCGGTGCAGCGGTTGGCCTGCCGGACGGCCGGGCCGGGCGCGTCACCAGGCGTCCCGTTAGTGCCGCGGCGGCGCGCCGCGCGGCCGTTCACCGCCGGCCGGTCCCCTTTGTCCGCGCGCCGGCCGGCGGCGGCGGCCGGCGGCCAGTTCACGGGCCAGCCAATGGGCGCGCACGGCGCCGCCGGCGGCCGCGGGAGGGATGACCGGATGGGGCGGAGGCTGATGCATCAGCAGGCAAAACGGCCAACACAGCAGTCGGCCGCCTGTTGAGGAAGCCACGGGCGGCGCCGGCCGAGGACTGATCCCTCCGCCCTCCTCCCTCAATCCTCCATCTTCCCACCGCCCGGCCGCACCCGTCTCCAGAAAGTGAAAGTCTGCGGGGAGGGGGCCGTTTACAGTGTGTGAACGGCGCCCCGCTGACCGTCCCGTCAGCGCGTGCCGCCACCCGCGCAAGGCCCGGAGTGACCGGAGTAGTGTGGACAGGCAGGTGCGGCCGCCGCACCCAGTGCAGGTCAGCGGAGAGACCAGCCCGGCTACCAAAACGGGCGAGGCCCTATCAAGGCCAAGGCCACAGCCGGGCACAACATTGGCTGATCAGCCTACCGACAATCAATCAGGGCCCTGGGTAATCAAATTAGACCACAATTGCAGTGGATTACACCGCGATTGGCAAAAAACAACAGGCACACTAAATAACGAACCATGGCGAATCATGGGCTAAAAGGCGAGCCATGTGAACAATAAGCATTAAGCTGTGCAGTCCATATAGGGTTAAAATAGCCAGGAAAAGGTTGCCGTTGCAACAGGGTCAAGGCCGGGATGACGCAGGGAAAGGCAGGAAAGTGTACGTATATGTTGCCTAGCTGTGCCTAGGATGGATCTTGACACTCATTGTAGATGCAGCAATCAAATATATGACGGCATTGAAGTGTGCTTGCGACTAGTAATGGACAATTCAGGATACCATACAAGGCAACGGAGCTCGTGGCTATCATACTGGACTTATGATCACAAAACCATTGCCCATGAGTGCATGCCAAGACCCCAGGAATCCAGCCGAACTTGACATACATGCAACGGGCGAAACCTTGTTTGTTAACCCTGTGCCGCTCAGCTGCAAAACACGTGAGTTTATTTATAAACATTCACAGCTTGGCACGAATCAACCCTGCGCTTCTTGATGCCAGCAGGCAGCCAACCCCCGCCCACTGGCGCTTCCTGTCTATTCAATGGCAGCTAAACGCTTAGCGGAGTGGCCGGTAGTAGTCTAGCATTCAGCTAGCCTTTACAGATGAGTAGAAAAGCTACATAGCTGGGGATATCACCAGCATCGGAGCCTCGTTTCGCGCCCAGCACCGCAGCCGCACGCCGACCGCAGGCACCGCCGCAGCGGCGGCGGCGGCAGAACCGGGACAGTAGAATGTGGGCCACAGTCCGGTCTGGCCCGGCCCGGCTCGGCGGCTCGGCGCCGCACGCTCTGCTTAGTGCCCGACCAACAGCTGAGCGGAGGCTCCACCGCCGCAGGCGCCGGCTCGGCACTAGCACAACGCCAGCGCCATCGCTACAGCTACCACCACCGCCGCGGCGCTAGCACGCCACTGCCGCCCGTCGCGGTGCCGCGAGCGCGATCCGCTTTCCCACGAGCGCCGCAGAGGCCCCGAAATCACGGCACAGTAAATGGGTCAACGCACATCGGTTTGCCGGCGCGGCGAGGCGACGGCGGCACCGCGGCTACATCGTCACCCGCCGCACAGCTCTCACAGCCCCCGGAGTGAGGTCACGCGTCAGAGTGACGACAGCAGCGAGTTTAAACGAGACGCCACCGCCGCCATAATTCATACCGACGCACACTGGTCGGAAACGCTCCAGCGAGAGGCCAGCGGCCTTTCCGCAAACGTTTTTTGCTTGTTATTCCACAACTAGTGAAGCAAACTTCATAAAACTTTGCATACCTTCTCTGTCATATGTAAGCTATCATTTGGATGTCAAGCACTAAATATATGACGTGAATCTGTTAAGTTATGACGTCATAATTGAGTATAATACAGGATCTAGCACCACTTTAAGTCAACAAGGGAAATTGGGAGCTGCTATTCGGGCACCGGGAATGGTTTCATGCACTCCTTGCAAGGTCCAGTGCTTCACTTTAGCATTGTTGACTTTGCGTGACGTCATTTATGACGTCACTAAGGCCATATAAGTTTTTCGTCAATAACTCCTGATCAAATGGAGCTAGAGAGTCGGGAAAGCCACCATTGGACTCAGGAAGACCTGCCGAATCGAATGATATGCGATATGACCTCCTTCAACCATTTTCATGACCTGAGGGGCTCCGACCTGACCTTGACCCGAGGTTAACACCTAAGTTGACTTCACCCGAACACCAAGTATAGCATTCAACGCGCCTGAGCTAGAAAAACACGATGATGCCAAAATCGCGGCAGTGCGACCATTTTTGGCAAAGTAATTAACCTAAAACTGAGCCCGTCCCTTGTGGCACTTACCTGACCTAAGAGGCCACTGGCTGACCTAAGACCTTAAAATCGGGTAGTACCTAATTGTTGCGTCTTATAACGGCACACAAGCTCGTTTTTTCCGCGAGGCTCTAGCTCAATTATAAGAGGCGAAACGGCGAGGAAGTTGTACCAACCCTCCCCGGTCAATATAGAAAACCAATCGGTCCGGCCAGGGTTAAATACCGGAATTGTGATCTAATGTAAAAAGACGGCCCAAGGTAACCCGACGTCAGTGACAGGTGTCCTATATTTGCAGCGTCTTATATTCACGAAGGTTTCAATTTCCAATTTCTTCAGCCGAGTGATGGCTGTCAATAGCAAGGCTCTTTAAATGCAAGCCGAAATCGCCACGCAACATGTGGAAGGCTTTTGATGTCAATGCATACATAAATGCATACATAAAACGCGCTTTTCACAAAATTCATAAACTCAAGCGCATCTGTTTTTAATGACCAGTCAACTACGCATGGATGCGTGCAGGCCACACAGGTCAGCGTAAGCCGGGCGCGGCGGCCGAGCCGAAACTGGGGCGGGGCGGGCGGTACTTGGGTAGGAAGAGCGGCTCCTGCAAATTTTGCGCAAATATGCGCAGTTAGCTTTTATGTTGCCCTGGTGTAAATTTAAATCCTGCTTCATCTCACAAAAAATCAGAGTGGAACTAGATGGGACTACCTGTTGTTTCCTTACCTAAACTTTGCAGTTATATTCCAAAATCACTGTAGGAGAGCCGTCATAAAAAAGCTACAGTAAATCTTAGTTAGGGGAAAAGTATACCAAAAATTTTGCACTGACCAGTCGGCAACTTCATAACGAACATTTTGATGCATAATATGTGGGATTTCAATTTGGTGTCTATCAGCAATAAGACTCTGAATATCCGGCTCAAGAAACCTCTTGCTCCGCGTCAGTTTCCGAGTTCTGGGATACCCCATCTTCGGGGGCTGATTACAGTTATTTTTGGTCACCCGGATTAGTTTTTTTGGCCTAAGTATAATAATTTGATCAATTTCAAATCGATCTATATAAAAAATAATCCGAAACTCCGGAATCGCCCGTGGCCTCTCGTGAGGGCGTTTCCGACCAGTGTGCGACGGCCCGACACGGCGAGCGGCAAGGTGGAG